CAGTGGGGTGGTCAGTGGGGTGGCTAGTGGGGTGGTCAGTGGGGTGGTCAGTGGGGTGGCTAGCGGGGTGGCCAGTGAGGTCGCCAGTGGGGTGGTCAGTGGGGTGGCAAGGGCATTTCACAGGGTGGCTTTGGCAACCCCTGACAACTCCCTAGTTGTGTGACTGGATTCAGGTAACATTACAGACCAAACGAGGATGTAAGAGCCCAAAGAGAAATCACTCGACCAAGGAGGATGTTAAGCAGAGAGGATTTATTAGTTTACTCCTAAGAATGAAGGTGGAAATTTTCAAAGATGGTGCTGCTAGATAGGTAAAGGTTCTCAAAGTCAGAATTCAGGACAGGAAAGAGTCACACGCTTAGTTGACGGGGTGAAAAGCGCCCCTCTGATGCCACTGCATGTCTCTGATGCGCCGAACTGACTGGATCTGAGGGATCTGAGCTCCAAACTCGGTGCTGTCTTCGTACTCTCCCTTTTCAAAAAGGTACTGAAAGCCTCTGTAACCTGGGTACTGATAGCCGACCCAGCTGGCGGGTGAGGAGAGAACAGCACGTCAGTCGTAAAACCAGCCAGCTTCTTTCCCAGTCATCTATCAGGAAGAGAAACTTACGTTCCACTCTGGACCCTGACGGAGGAAACCTTCTCCTGGTAGCCGTGAGCGTGGAAGCTGGGGACGTCATCATCAATGATTTCTATCTTCTTTCCTGCAAAGCGGGGGTTTTCATAAAGGACAATCTTGTGCTCCTGGCTGTCCTGGAAGGCAGAGCAACGAATCAGCACCTTCAGGCAGGCTACTGATGATGAGGATGATGAGGTGAACTGGAAATGTACTTCTTACCACTTTAATTGGGCGGAATGCAACAATGGTGTCGCTGCGCCTGCTGTTGGTCCAGGAATCCCAGCGAGGATACTCCCCCTTCTCAAACACATACTGCTCCCCCTTGCAGCCGGCCTGCTCGTATCCCACCCATCTGACACAAACAGACGCTCTCAGTCACCTGTTTGTCTGTTACCTCATTGGCTCGTTATCATGAGGCACACTCACGGTCCACACAGCACCAGAATGGAGCCCACTTTCTCCACGCCTGCTTCCTGGAGGTCTTTGCAGGGCCCAGTCAGCTCATGGCAGCGGCCCTGGAAGTTCTCCTGCTCGTAGATGACGAGCTGCACAGGGAGGGATCAGAACATTTCAGCGTGGGTGTCAGGAACCGCTGCAGTTCTGGTCCTGGATGCTTACCTTGAACGCGCTGCTTCCTGGCTGCTGCTGCTTGGATGCAGGGATCTGGTGATCTGTGGCCATAGTGAAGAGATGGACAAACCTGCAGAGAAACCTTAACACTGTTAGAAACACCACAGCTTCTGGTCCAAACTGAGATACTTTCACTCGTAAAG